GAGCGTCTGAAGTAACGTCCCTTCCGCTCGGTTCTTATTCTCCTCTTCCCTTCTTGAGGCAATCTCAAGAGATTCTCTCGTGATTATTCAAAATCCTGAGGAGTCTATCGATCTTAACATTTCTGATATTGAAGCTAATTCTGCTTCTCTTACCCCTCTCCTCCTTTCTCAGTCAGCAATGGAACTTCCTCATCTCAAGGCTCGTACAACCAAAAAGGAGAAGGAAACGGCTTCTAAGCTGCTGAAGGAGAGGAGGAACATGCTCTCTGAAACAAAGAAGACCTCTACTCCTCATAAATAGAAGGGGTTTCTTCTGAGCTGGCCTCAAACACCCTTCCGCGAAGGACACTCCTAATCCAAAGCGTCCCAAGCTTATGGCTGGGGCTTTCAAGGGCAAAGGTGCCCTAGTTGCTGCTACAGGTGATGCTGTGGGCGATGACTTTGCAGGATCCACCGAAAGGTAGTTTTCTGAAATGTTAAAGGCTGATGGTTCTTCTATCACCCTCAGTGATTCTGCTGCTGAGGACCCAAAGGTTCTGTTGGGTTTGGCCAGAGGAATGTGGCCACCCAGAGACGAGATCATTCAACAGCAAATGAATGTTGATGATCTCCTTTCTCTCGCTCCCTAGTTTATCATGGAGGTAATCTATTTAACCTTTCTCTTCTGTTCTTCTTATTCATGTTTTCTGTATATGTAACATGCTGCTTCTTCCTTTTACAGAGCTCACTTTTTACGTTTGCCCTCCTAAAAAAGCTCTCGGCTGACTCTCTTCAAGCGAACCAATCTGTTGCCCTTCATAAGAAGGTAGAATTTTTGGAGGCTTCCCTCAAGGAGGCCAAGAAAGAGAATGCCGAGCAGCAGAAATTGATCAAATACTTTAGCAGAAGGGCTAAAGACTTGGAGCACAAAGCAGCTGAGTTCAAGCTATAGCTTGGGAAGGCTAACTTCATGATCCAAACTTGCAAAGATAGAGGTTTGGAAATGTTTGCTCGTTTCTTTCAAATTGCCAACCTTCACTATGCCAAGGGATTCAAACTTGGCTTTGCCTAGGGCTAGCTTCCTTTAGAGGAGAAGGAGTATGATGATGCTGATGAGCATGACGCAGAGTAGGGGCTCCAAGACATTGGGGAGTATAATAAGCTATCTGTCGGGGTTGGTAAGATGGAATTTGCTGCCATGTTAAAGGGTGAAAAGGCTTCAGAGGTTCTACCTCCTCTTCAATACCCATCAAGCTCTCTGGGTGTTCCTACTATGGCCCTTGATGCACCTCTCCCTCATCTCAGCTCGACTATAGTAGAGCTGGTAGATGACTTCACGCAAAATTTCAATACAGAAGGTGAAGCTGATATCGTGGAGAATCCTGTGAAGGAATAAGGCTAATATATGTAGACTCTTCTTCTTTTTCTTTTTCTTTTTCCTTCTTTTTGCAAGGTATAGGGAATGTCTTGCCTCTATTTGTACTGCCTTATATATATATATATATTATAATTCTCTTTTTGTACCCTTTGTGATTGCTTGTGTTTTTTAAGCCCTTGCTTTGGTCGTCTTTTGCGATTGTTTAGACTTCATCAAATTTTGGTAAAACTTTATATGGCATTCGGCTCTTCGAACCTTCGCCTTCTGTTGTGTTTGGCTCTTGGGGTCATTTGGCTTTTTTGGCTTTAATTGAATTTTGATGAAATTTGATATGGCGTTTGGCTCTTCGAACCTTCATTTTTTATTGCGATCAGCTCTTGGGGCCGTTCGACTTTTTTGGACTTAGCCAATTTTTTATGAAAGTTGGTATGACGTTCGGCTTTTTAATCCTTCGCCTTTTGTTGCGATCGGCTTTTAGGGTCGTTCAACTTTTTTAGACTTAGTCAATTTTTAGTGAAAGTTATGATGTTTGGCTCTTCGGACCTTCGCCTTTTGTTGCGATCGACTCTTGGGGTCGTTCAGCTTTTTTGGATTTAGCTAAATTTTTATGAAAGTTGGTATGGCGTTTGGCTCTTCGGGGCCTTCGGATTTTGTTGCAATCGACTCTTGAGGTCGTTCGGCTTTTTTGGGCTTAGCCAATTTTTGATGAGATTTGGTATGGCATTCGGCTCTTCAGGCCTTCGCCTTTTGTTGCGATCGGCTTTTGGGTCCGTTCAACTTTTTTGGGCTTAGCCAATTTTTTATGAAATTTGGCATGGCATTCGGCTCTTCGGGCCTTCGCCTTTTGTTACGATCGGCTCTTGGGGCTGTTCGACTTTTTTGGACTTAACCAAACATTGTTAAAATTAGGTATGGCATTTGGGGCCCTCGCCTTTTGCTGCGATTGGCTCTTGGGGCTGTTCAATTTTTTTTTTTTTTTTAGAATCAGGCCACATTGTGGGCCGAGCCCAAAGAAATAAAAGGAAAAGAAAAAGGTAGGGGGGGAAGAGCGAAGTGGAGACCCCTGATAATGGGCCGTCATTATCAATGGGTTCCCATTATCAAGGGGTCCCACTTGCAGACTTCTAAATGAATCTTTTACGTTATAATAATGTAAAGGTTTGTCTTTTAGTCGATGTGGGACACTAGTTTGAAGAAGAAACAAAAATAGCTTTATTTATTGTCAAAGGGGCCACTAAAAACACTGTACGATTATTATATTGAAAATACCTTTACAATTGCATCGCGTTCCTTGGTTTGTCCACCATAATGCCATTCAAGTGTTGGAGTTTGTCTGTTCCTTTTCTTGTCACGTCCGTGACTCGGAATGGACTTTACCAGTTAGGTTCCAACTTTCCCACATATTTTTCCGATTTCAAGAGCACGAGATCTCCTGGGTTGAAGCTTCTGTGCTTGACTCTTTTGTTGTAGATGTTCATCAGCCTTTGTTGATACACTGCCAGCCGAATGGCTCCTGCCTCTTTTTTCTCCTCTAGAAAATCTAGATTGTGTTCTAGAAGCTGACGATTTGATTCCTGCCTCCATACCAGGCTTCGGATGGTTAGGGCAACCATCTCAGTTGGGATTACAGCTTCAGTCCTATAAGCTAAAGCAAAAGGGCTCTCACCCGTGGGACATCTCGGAGTGATCCTATATGCCCAGAGGATGTTTAGGAACTCATCTAACCATTTTCCCTTCTTATCTTCAAGTTTTTTATTGATGCAAGCAAAAATTGTCTTGTTTGTTATTTCTGCTTGCCTATTGTCTTGTGGATGGTAGACAGCTGACATTTTTTGGTTGATCCCGTACTTGTCGAAGAATCGTTGAGTATATTAATTGCTCAGGTTCATGCCATTATCTATAACGATTAATCGTGGGATCCCGTACCTCTTTTGTGATGCGGCTGGTGGCAAGGTACTAACTACATCCATCCCCCATTGGGCGAAAGGCCATGGGCTGCTCATGGTGTGTAACTCTTCTGGAGGTTGATGCACGAAGGGTGCGTACCTCTGACATTTATCGCACCTTCTGGAATATTCCTCGACTTATCTTGCCATGTAAGGCCAAAAGTAACCCTGGGTTAAGGCTTTATGAGCTAATGACCTACCCTAGAGTGATTTCCGCATTCTTCTTCGTGCAATTGTTTCAGGACTTCTCTGGACTCCGTGGGCGGCAGGCATCTGAGATATGGTTTCGAGAATGAGCGTCTGAAGAGTTGTCCATTAACGACGGAGTATTTTGTAGCTTTCATCCTTAATTGCCAAGCTACTTCTTTGAAGTTGGGGAGTTCTCCTCTTTCTAGATATGCTAGAATTGGGTCCATCCAACTTTGTTCCCTCGGTAGAACCTGCACCGGCAATCCTCTTGTGATACTTAGTGTATCCAAGATGTCGATGGGAACGAGCCTCACCACTGAATCATGTACGATACAATATAAATATGATGATACGACAAGAATACATCAAAAAATAATAATTTTATTCATTTGAATGAAATCACTAATTTGAAGTTTAGGGCCCGTTTTGACATCCATTATGATATTATTTTTCTGATTTTGATATCCAAATTTGGGCCCATATCATGTTTGAGACGGCTGATATTGGTTTAGAATTTTTCAAAACATATCAAATTTTTTGGCCAAAACTCATATCAACAAATTGGTGATATTGTGTGTTTTGATATTGTAGCGGAAGAATTAAAGTAAATTTTCGAATTTCTTAAATCAAATTTTCGATACCAAACATAGTTCCAATCTCTACCCAAAACACTCCTACAACAAAACAGTTGCTTTGCTATTAACCAAAAACATAACGTTTAAAACACATCGCATGCCAAACGGGAGATTTTGTTTTCTTAAATTTTATATTATTTCTCTAATTAACCTATAATAAATTCAAAATTGCCTTAAATTCCATTATTCTAAAAAAATACATATACATTCACCCGTCGTATCCTAAAAGTGCCATGTCGTGTCCAACCATAAAATATATATTTAAATTTTAAGATACTTCTATTTATGTTCACATGAATCTCAATCATGTTCACGTGTTCAACAAATATCGGAGTGTTGATATCACCACAACACCCTCGAAAAAGTGATGGTACGTCCTAGATATCCATCAGTCTCACATGAGACTTCACATATATTTGCCAATTTGTTTAAAAATATGAAAAAATAATTTGGTACATTTTTTTCGTGTTTGCAAGTAAGAAATTGACGTATGGGAGGAATTTATTATAACTAATTCCTCAAATCCCTATTTTAACATGAATTCAATGCTGGACATGCAACATTTGAAAATGCAGAACTAATTCTTGTTGTTTGATTAATCAATATTATTTTGATAAGTCACAATTCAAATTTAGTTTTTATTTTTATTTTTTATAAGTCACTTCAAGTTTTTTTTGTTTTGTTTTTGAAAACAAGATGATCTTAACGGCTAGAAATTAAATAAAAAATGAAATCAAACACGTAACACTACACGTGTCACAGTCCCACCCGTATCCAACGTTCACGTACCAAACATTCTCGTATTTTCCCCCTCAAATAAAAATTTGAATTACTCAGTCCGTACAAAAACAATTACAAGTATACAATCAATACAGTAGCTTCAATCACGCTCTCAATCGTGGCCATGGAGGACGCCGACCAAGAGACCGGTTTGGGGGCCGCTTATTTTCCGCCGTCTTTGGTCTCTCTCACTCCATTCCCGCCTTCAATCTCCCCCTCCCCTCGCCGCCTTTCCAGCCATTTCACGGAGCCAAGCCGTCCTGTTCGAGCGGCGAGAAAGCTGGCCTGGGTGTCTCTCCAGGGTCGGATCGTCGGCGCCGAGGAAGCGAGCTCGGCCAGATCAATAGGTGGCGGATTGAACCGAGAAGAAGCCGTGGCTTGGGAGCTGTTTAGCCCCATTCATCGGATTCTTATAGTCGCCGTTGTAGCTGTTGCCTCCGTGAATTCGAAGAAAAATAAGCAGATTTTTCAGCTCAGAAGATCAGTAGAACTCAGGGTTTGCACTTTGTAATTAAGGGTTTAATCTTGATTGATGTTATTTTAATTTCGTTTCGTTCTTACATTAATCTCATAGTATCTAGGGTTTGTACTTAGTACTTAAGGGTTTAATCTTGATTACTGTTATTTTAATTTTCTATTCATTCTTAATTTAATCTCATAGTAATTATTGCTTGTTTCAGTTAATGGGTATAATTTGAATTTAAATTTTAGTCCTGATTTCTAGCTTCTTTAGGGTTGTAATGATCACATTGTAATTACTGCTTGTTTCAGTTAATGGGTCTAATTTATTTTTTATTTTTAGCTCCTTTAGGGTTTTAATGGTTTTGCATTCAATGTCGTGCTTCATTGAATAGGTCTATTCTGAATTCAAAATAACGTTTTTTTGGGGGGGGGGGGGGATCATTTACAGTTAAGAGGTTTTCTGCTTTTTGATGATTTAAATCTTTTTAATTTATTTACATAAGTGACTGAGACTTGTGACATTGAATGGGTCTCGATTTAGTTTCTGTTTTTTTGTTGATTCAATTTTGATTTTCTATACGATTTTGGTTTCAACGTTATGCTTTTGTGGTTTAGTTAATGTATATGTAGTGAATTAGAGTTTATATTACTCTACATCATTCCATGTTTTCATCTCTAGTTGTGATTAGTATAGAAGATTTTTTTTATTTTATTTATTTATTTTTTTATTTTTTAATGATTGTGTATTATTGTGATCTGTTTAGTGTTCATCATTTATTTTCTTTTTAGTGAAAGGTTTGCTCAGCCCCGCCTTTTTTTTGGTTTTGTGCGTGGGGTTGTTCAGTACTACTTCTTTTCAGCCTCGTATATTTGAAAGCACCAAATCAGCATCTTGGAATTGGAAATGGAGAATATTTAGTTTATTTTGCCTTTCTGATTTAATTTGTATATTCAGTGTTCTTTTGTTGATATATCTTTAAGAAAATTGTAAGTAATAAATGTGTATTTTCACATTCTTTCCAGGATAAAGTGCTCTTAAGCATGCAACAGAAGCTTGACAATCTGTGCGAGCAAATGAATTATATTAAGGATCAGCCAGAATGCGAGGACTTGTCATTGACTAAGAATATGGAGTTCCCATCCACATTCAGCCGATTATCCACCTCCAACAAAACCAATTTTGCTGGTTGTGATTGTCGCCTTTTTCATCAACATAGGCCTCCAACAAATGATTTGATGGTAACGGTATTCTCTTTCTGTTTTAATTTCTTGTACTGTCCATTCACTGAATTTGACTGTCTATTTTCCTTCATTTGTGATTATTGCAGATATTAACCCTGAAATTGGGTGCTTACTTTATTTTGGTTGCCAGGGTAATTCGGTTGTGAAAGCATCTCGTGGGGATGAGATGTTTGAGTATAAAATTCCTCTTGTAAATGGGGTTGAACAAGAGGAGCGCCGATTGTCTGATTGGTCAGACTGGGCTTCCAGCGTTACTTCCTCAGTGGATATGCAGGTAATGAAATGTTTGTGTCTTGTACTGTATCAGATGCAATGGAGATTGAGCTTTATGTGGTAGCAAGATGAGCTTTATTTTCTCACTTTGATGTTGAATATGCCATGATATTAAATAATTGTTGACGCATTTTTGAGATTGTTTGTTTGAAACTAAGAGGCCAGTTTGTGCTAGTGCTCAAAGTTAGGTTTACCCTTAGAGCATCCTCAATTGACAAGTATTAGAAGTAACTAATGGCCTTTATATTTTGAGAAAGAATGATCTGTACATTCTATTACTATTTGTGAGAAAAAGGTGATTGTCTCTGGCCAAATATGGGGTAGTTTGACAAAATGAAATATGCTCATTTTTTCTACCATATCTTAGATAAACAATTTTCAGAAAGTAAAGAGACTTCTAGAAGCCCATTTTTTTTCCAACAAGCTCAAAATCAGGACACCCTTTTGTGGTGGTGGTTGAATTAAGCAATTCTAGTAAAGAAAATTGAATTGCTACAACCTAATCCGTCTATTGTTTTAGTAATGAGTATTCACACATTGTGCATTTCCTGCAGTCTCAAAAAGATATCGAACAAGATATCTGTAATCTCAAAAAGGAATGTGAAGAAAAGGATGCTACAATAAAGAAGCTTTCTACTTTTCTCCACTCATCTGAAGTTGCTGGTTCAAAGGTGCTGTTTTTCAATTTTGGCTGTTCTTTTTTCATTCCAAAATCTTGTTATTTGATTGATTTGGTCATCATTTTTGTTTTTTCCCCCTCAATAACAGAGGATTACAGAGTTAGAAGACATCATTCGCAGGAAGAACATGGTAATTACAAAACTTAAGAAAGACCTGGTGGTCCTAGAGCAGAAGGTGAGAAGGAGTACAATCAATTTTAGTGGTATATAACATAATTATGCAATAAATTATGAAATTACTCATTTTTAAATCTGTTCACAGTTATATATATGAGAGGGAGAGAGAAGTTTCAGACTTGTCTATATTCATATACATAAAAAAAAAACTAATAAAGTGTACAAGGCTTATATAAAGAGTACAAGTCTTACTTAACTACACAAAGGCCCCTATCAACATTCTGTAATTATATAATGGCCCAACACTTATATATATATATATATATATATATATATATATATAACATTCTAACACTCCCCCTCAAGCTGGAGAATATATATCAAATAATCCCAGCTTGGAACAGATAGTTCTTAACCGGTTATGACCCAATGCTTTGGTAAACATATCAGTTAATTGATCTTCAGACTTCACAAATGGAGTAGAGATGCTCCCACTTAATATTTTTTCTCGAATGAAGTGACAATTAACTTCAATATGTTTGGTCCTCTCATGAAACACAGGATTTAATGCAATGTGAACTGCTGCTTGATTATCACAGAACAATGGAGTAGGATCCTCAACTATCAACCCAAGTTCTTTTAGAAAATGTTGTATCCATGTCAACTCACTAGTGGTATGGGCCATTGCCCTATATTCAGCTTCAGCACTAGATCGAGCTACCACCGTCTGCTTTTTACTTCGCCATGTAACAAGATTTCCTCCTACAAATGTGCAGTATCCTGTAGTAGATCTCCTATCTGAAGGAGAACCGAAGAACAACAATCCAATGTGGCATTCTAGGAACTCCCATGAACTGACTTACAACACTGACTGCATATGAAATATCAGGTCGAGTGATAGTGAGATAAATTAATTTCCCAACAAGGCGACGAAACCTGCCCGGGTCATTAAATAGATCACCCTCATCAGATACAAGTTTTGTATTTGAATCCATAGGAGTATCAACCGGACGACCACCCAACATACCTGTTTCTTCTAATAAATCCAACACATATTTGCGTTGGGATAAACTTATACCCTTCTTGGATCTAGCAACTTCAATGCCCAAGAAATACCTAAGTTTACCCAAGTCTTTAGTGTGGAATTGATATTGCAGAAACAACTTCAACTTAGCAATGCCTTCAGAATCATTACCTGTGATCACAATATCATCTACATACACCACAAGAAATACGAAGCCAGCTTTAGTGCATTGGTGAAACACCGAATGGTCGGTCTGACATCTCTTAAGACCAAATTTTAACGCCACCTCAGAGAATTTTCCAAACCAAGCCCGTGGAGATTGTTTCAATCCATACAGAGCCTTTTTAAGGCGACAAACAGTGTGAAGATACTCCCCCTGAGCAACAAACCCAGGTGGTTGCTCCATATAAACCTCTTCTGCTAAGTCACTATGCAAAAAGGCATTTTTAACGTCTAACTGAAACAGAGGCCAATGTCTATTAGCAGCAAGAGAAATCAAAACACGAATAGAAGAAATCTTAGCAACGAGAGAAAATGTCTCGTCATAGTCAATACCATAAGTTTGGGTATAACCTTTGGCAACAAGACGGGCTTTTAAACGCTCAACAGACCCATCTGGAAGATACTTCACAGTATATACCCAGCGACAACCAACAGGTTTGACATCCGGTGGTAATGGAACAAGATCCCACGTGCCATTCTTATGCAAAGCATCCATTTCATCTTGCATTGCTTTCCTCCAGCCCAAATTAGATAACGCATCCTGCACAGTCTTAGGAACGAATGTAGTAGACAACTGAGAGGAAAAACATGAGAATGATGGCGATAAGGAATTACAAGAGACATAATGAGCAATGGGATGGTTAGTAACACATGAGCGAGGAGCTTTACGAAGTGCAATAGGCAAGGAATCAGCCACAGTGGAAGGCGCCGGATCCAAGGACTCTGAAGAGGATGGAGGAGGCACGACAACCGATGGCTTTGGTCTTCGAGTGTACACCTGTAACGGGGCAGATGAAGGAACAAGAGATCGAGGTTAAAAAGAGAGTGAGGGAAGAGGAACGGCAGAAGGAGGCGATTCAAGAGTGATATCAAGAAGTGAATCAGTATCTGAAAAATATGGGATGGACTCAGAAAACGTTACATCTGCACTAATAAAGTACCGTTGAGAAACAGGACTATAACAGCGATAACCTTTATGAGAGCGAGAGTAGCCAAGAAATACACACTTGGTGGCACGTGGGTCTAATTTATCAAAACCAGGACCAAGATTGTGGACATAACATACACATCCAAAAACCCTAGGAGGAAGAGAAAACAAGGGAGAATCAGGAAATAAAATAGAATGTGGAGATTTACCATCTAAGACAGATGATGGCATACGGTTAATAAGATGACAGGCAGTAAGAACAGCATCACCCCAAAACCGTTTAAGCATATGCGTATGAAACAAAAGAGCACGAGTTACTTCTAAAAGATGTCGATTCTTACGTTCTGCAACACCATTTTGTTGTGGAGTATAAACACATGAATTTTGATGAATAATTCCTTTATCACTAAGATATGTATCAAATGGAGTTGAAGAATATTCCTTAGCATTATCAGAACGTAGAATACGAATAATGAAATTTATCACTGCCTGAGTTTTGATTTCTTTGCGAAATTTTTGAAAAATTAAAAATAACTCAGAACGATCTTTCATTAAAAACAACCAAGTCAGGCGAGAATAATCATCCACAAATGTCACAAAATAATGAAATTTATTGATTGAAGAATGTTTTATTGGACCCATACATCTGAATGAACCAAATGAAAAGGACTAGAGACACGATTATTAACCCTAGACTTGAAAGACACACGATGGTGCTTACTAAGTTGACAAACTTCACATGACAAGAATTTCAAATGACTAAGACTAGGAACTTGACGCTTCAAAACTTGAAGTGACGGGTGACCAAGGCGACAGTGCCACTGGAATGGAGACAGAGAAGACTGAAAAGCCACAGGAGAAGATTCGAAATCAAAATAATATAAGCCACCAGATTCATGACCCGTACCAATCGTCTTCTTCGTCTTGAGATCCTAAAACACACAAGAAGTAGGATCAAATGTAACAGAGCACTGAAGAGATTTAGTAAGCTTACTGATAGACATTAAATTAAAGGGAAACTGCGGAACATGTAAAACAGATGAGAGAGACAATGAATCACTAAGTGGAGTTGTCCCCAAACCTGAAACCTGAGTGGATGAACCATTAGCAAGAGTAACACTTTGAGAAGGATGTACAGAATGAAAATCAGATAGAAGAGAAGAACATCCGGTCATATGATCAGATGCTCCAGTGTCTATGATCCAAGGACTGCGAGTGGAAGACAATAGACATGCGTGTGCAGTACCTGACTGGGCAAAAGTAGCCGTGGAAGATGAATTAGATGCTTGCTTATAAGACAAAAACTGGGTATACTCATCCCGTGGAACAGGAACTGTATCTGATTCAACTACGTTATATGATCCAGAAGCAACATCAGTCGGAGAAGAAGAAACTTGATTGGCATAATTAGATGGTTTCCCATGAAGATCCCAATAAAAATTCACAGTATGATTAGAAAGACCACAATGGGTACACTTTCTAAATTCCCTGCCACGGCCACGTCCTCCACGTGGATCACGACCACCACGGGTGGAGCGTCTCCCACGACTTCCACTGTAAGTATTATGTTCACCCTTTGAGACCACTAATGCTGAACGTTCACCACTCTGTCCAGTAGTCAAATTTGAGGTATCACTTGCAAGTGTAGCACGCTGAAGTCTAGAAAACACCTCAGCAAGAGATGGAAGTGTTGGACTGCTCATAATCTGTGCACGAAAAGGCTCATATGCTGATGATAAACCAGTAAGAAAACGGACAACATTAAAGTCTGCACGCTGTTGTTGCATACTGCGAACATCACCTGTAATGGGCTGATATATATTCAACTCTTCACAGATTCCCATAACTTTAGAATAATACTCTTCTATACTTTGAGTACCTTGTTCAAGATTGAAGTACTGCTTACAGAGCTTATAAACACGAGTGATATTACCTGTCCTAGAATACAATTGCTGCAATCTGTCCCATATCTCCTTGACAGTATCCAAATAAAGTAGAGTTGAACTAATTTGGGGTTCAATACTATTTATCATCATAGAGATGATCTGAGCATCTTCCTTTTCCCATGCATCAAAGGAGGCATCAGCTGCCTTGGGTTTCTCTTTAGTCAAATGAGAACCAAGACCTCTGCCTTTGAGGAAAATGGCAACAGATTTAGCCCACAATATTTAATTTTTCCCATTCAGTTTAACTGAAGTCATGGGAGAATGAAGACTGTTCGTGGGTGACAGTAAATCTGAACTAGATGCCATGTTGAATCCAGCAAAAACAGAGAAGAAAAAAAAACGCGGGAGAGAGAAAAAAACAGATTCTGTATTTTGACCGAACCTGGAAAACCGGGTCGAATCTGAAACAGGATCTGGTCAACGGACCTGGTCAAACGGGTTGGACTGAATTGGGCTATCCAGGTTTAGCAAACCAGGGTTCAAGTAGCCATAACCATGTAGCCAAACAGAGGTCTTCTTCTTTACACCTTCACGGACGCCGGGGAATAACGCGGCTGCAACGACGGCGACCCAATCACAAGGAACGGCCGAACCAATAAGCAGCGATCGCTGCAACTTCCGGCCAACAGAGATGAACCTCACCTCTGCGAATCAAGATTGCAGAGGTCGATGAGATCGCTGGCAACCAAAGAGAAGCGGCCGGCGACGACGAACACGGTAGAGACGATGACGAGCAACTCCCAGATCTGACGACACCGCAGATTTGACGACAATGACCAAGCTGCTGCTGATGACGACAAACAAGGAACCGATGAACCGATGGTAGAGATCACCAACACCACAACTGCAATTTGAATCTTAGACAAGAAGAACCCAATTACAGATTCTCACACCCATGATCGTACGCTCTGATACCATGTTCACAGTTATATATATGAGAGGGAGAGAGAAGTTTCAGACTTGTCTATATTCATATACATCAAAAAAAACTAATAAAGTGTACAAGGCTTATATAAAGAGTACAAGTCTTACTTAACTACACAAGGGCCCCTATCAACATTCTGTAATTACATAATGGCCCAACACTTATATATATATATATATATAACATTCTAACAAAATCATTGTGAAATTTAATGTGGCTTAAATAGTTAAATCTCTTGCAATCTTCTTCCATATTTTTTTCTTTTCAAAACTTTGTTTTCCATCAACTTTTACATAGAGGACATGTGTCCACATATTTCCACTGTCTCAAGAATTCAATGTTGTCACGGTCTCATCTCCATTATAATCATCCATAGAAGTTGTTGAATTTAAACTTTGCAGAATTAACAATTGCATAGCCCAATATGGTCATGCTAATCTTCTCTGTGTCGTTTAAATTATTCTACAATCTTTGAAATAATTCAAGGATATTGTAAATGGATATACTTCATACATAGTAGTATTTTGTAATTGATTTTTAAATCATGTAACATGTTGACTAAATTAAGTTTGCATACATTACGTAAAATCAATTTTTGTGATATCATGAACAGGTGGTGCACCTAACAAGACTTCGGAGACCCTCTTTTTCTGCCTCAAGCTCAAATGTGGGGCAGCTTCCATTCATGGCAGAGAACCTCATTTATGATATGGATAGTACTACCAGTCCATCATCATCTGATTCAGATTGCCCCCCCAGGAACCGGCCACAAGCTCCCGTTGCCAGAATCCAGGAAATCACTGTTCAAAATAGCGAGTCTGCTCCAAGCAGAGATAAGAAATTGGGAAAGGTAAAAGGCTTGAGTTCCTCAGTGAAGCCAACCAACCTGCAGCAGAAGTCCCGACCAGTGAGTCCTCTAAAAGAGAGATCAATGAACTGGAGACCTGATTTTGTCACTTTGAGACCAAAGCCCTCATTATCAGCTGGTGGAGATCTAAACAATAGTAGGAGGAGAGCTCGGACTGGATCAAAGGATGTAGCGCAACAGAAGAGATGGGCTTAGTAAGTTTTCCACATTTTTTAGTACAACATGGAATGTTTTCTGCTGCTACAATAGGGTTCTGATTTTTGGTTTGAACTTTCAACATCCTTTCAATTGCAAACTAGAATCCCAACTGTATTATTTTCCCCTTGAAAATTCATGAGATAAATTAAGTTTGTTTTTAAATTACTCAAAATAGTCCGATATTTGGAATTTCAGAATTTTCTAGATGGCGAGGAATCTGAATCAAATGACTATTTTTTTTTTTTTTTTATATTCTGCCAGAATTCAATATCTTGCTTCAAATAATTGCCTCTTTAATTTCATTCTTCATGCTGGAAATGAAAACTATAAATTTGCATCCAAATAGAAACTATTCTTCTTCTCCACAACACGCAATCTATATGTTAGATTTCATGCATACAAGCATAAGGAATGCAACACGTATATCTATTAGATTCCGAAGATTTGTTTCTCAAATTGACTTGGTTAGATTATGAAGTTTTCTCAGTTAATAAGGCTTTCATGCATGCTTCAGACAATGACAAGGAAATAAACGTTATAGCTGCAAATTATTATTTTTTCTTATATTGCTTTTTGCCCTGCTATTTTGTAGGTTATTAAAGAAAATAAGTACGTGAGAGTTTTGGTACAAAACCATATGAAGTTGGGTGGTTGCAGGATATTTAATAAGTAGAGGTCTTTTGGGGAAAAAAAAAAAAGAAGCTATATGAAGACGAGGATGCTTGTGCACTTCAGAATTGTTGCAGCAAAGATGTGGAACAGGGCAAGCAGTACATATTACATACTTTTAGGTGCAGAACAATTGTACTGTTATGCATGTTGAACTTGTAATTTTTCAGAATTTCGGTTCTTAATGTGGTAGTTTACTAGCATATATGAATCATGGATATCTTCTGTGGATCATGTCGGTGATTTGGTGTTCGACTGCTTTTACATTCCATGCAAATTGAAAGGGTTTATAGTATGTGTAGCATTTACGACACAAGCAGACATGCCGGTAGATGACATAGAATATAAATGAGTTTCTCATCTAAAATCATACACGCAGAATATTATATGCATATATATATATGTATATCTAGTCATATGCAGTCATGAAAGCCTAGCTGAAGGTCTTGTGCAAAGAGTATAGCAGCTTGGTCGTAATACTGTGAATTTTATTTGCTGAACAGCTTGGTATTGGTCATGTAGGCAGTTTTCTGTTCCTTTTAGGCTCTGGCCAGTATAAAGAGTGGCAAATGTTCTACATTACTTGGAAGTTCAAAGTCTACTTTTGAAGGTCAAATGACAATAATAATAATAATATCAATGATGATTTAAGTTTTTGCACTGAGGTGGCTTTTCAGGACTCCTAAACTGCTTTATGAAGATTGTTTCCTGAACAACAGAAAAAATAGAGCTTGCAAAACAATCTAAAGACTCCATCGCCAATCTGAAGATGGCTCCCTCTTTGAATACTCCCAACTTCGGCTAGAGTATCACCACTAATATTAGGGATGGAAAAATTTGACAAGGTTTGTCAACATGACTCAAACATAGCACGTAGTGAGTTTGGATTGACCTTAATTGTGATTGTATCACAATCATGTCAACCCGTTTAATGTTCGTGCTTTAGAGCTCAATTTGTTCAACTTGATTCGACCCGTTTAATTAATTGTGTCATAATCAAACCGATTAACTCGTTACCTATTTTATTTTTTATAATTGTACTGTCCAAATTATTTTCATTTTTATGATTTTAGTTTTGTATTATCTCAATTTTCATTTTATTTTTATTTTTTATACTTAAATTAATAGACGGGTTAAATGACCCATTTAAATTATACGGGTTAAATAAGTTACTCGTGCAATCTGTTTAAAAAACGGGTATTATTCGTATTGAGGGTCCTGACATGATTATTAAGCGGGTCATGTTCGAGTTGACATGTTTAACAAATATTCATATATCGACACGACACGATTATGACCTGTCAACATGACTTAACATTCCCTATGAAAGAAAAATCATACTGTAACCAAAGCTGTGGCCTAGCAGTATCAGCCTCTTACCTCTCAAAGGGAGGTCAGAGGTTTAAGTCTCAAAAGAGACAAGTGTGTGTGAGTACCAACTAAAAAAAAAAATAGGAGAGCCGAAAACGGCTTCCCCTTAGATGGATTTTGGTGGGACCCAACTATGCCTGACCACATTGTATCTAGGGGAGAATCATGTTCAGTCCCCTTTCATATATCCTAAGAGCATCCCCTGCACACGCCTTCCTTTCCATTATACACTTTATGTAAACTGTACAGCCACATCAGCAATTGGTTATACACTTATTTTGGAGACTCCAAGTTCTTGTTGTGCACTCATTTTTTCGTTCTACACTCTATTATATTATTATTTATAATTATTTTTTTTTTCCAAAGTTTTATTCTCAACAACTATAATGCTAACGGCTATAATTGTTTGCTCCAATTATATATTTAGATACAAGATTTTTTTTAAAAAAATTAATATTAAAAAACAATGATATTACATATATAAAAAAAAATAAAAATAAAAAAATAAAAGTGCATTACAAAGCTTCCTACAAATAAAATAAAACAATACAACTTAGGAAAAAAATTATATTAATACTTCCACACACGAAAAAAAAAAAAATAGTAAACATTACAATTAATTGCCCCCTTTTGCATAACGCGCCATAATTTCATTTTGTCGATCCTCGATCCATGCTTTCGTCGCCGGTGTTGCAACATCATTTGGATTTTTTCCATCATTTGTCTTTCCCAAAGAACTTGCTCCCGCTCAACCTCCATCTTCTTAATTTCTTTTTGCGCCTCAAGCTCCTTTAATTTCATTTCTTTTTGCAGCTCAAGCTCCAATCCGTTCTTGCTCCATACCCAAATTGAATTTCGATTTTATTTTTAAAGTACGAGATTCGAGTGTTAAGCTGTCCATCAACTTATTTTGCTCGACAAATCCTTGAAATGGTGTAAGAAATAAGTCATTTTGTACCATATCTTTACTTTTACGACCCTTCTTGGCAGTTTTTCGCCCAATAGGTCATGAAATGTCACGTAAACCTTCGTCAATGGATGGTGAGTCGTTATCGCCAAGGTTTACCGAACCTAGTATGGGAGCTTACTAGAAGCCTAAGAAGTGTTTTGATACTGCAGGAGTTGACTGAGTAGATGAATTAGTTAGGATTGAACTTGGTGTTGATGGAACTGTTTCGTAACAATCTCCAGGCTCATTCATATCAAGATCCATAGCTCTCTTATTTGTGTTTGGTTTTTGTTTTTTTCTTCATTTTATCGCATTTTGGAGCCACTTTGAAGATTTCCAAAGAAGATTCCAATAGTGCTCCCACTTAAATGGCTCCTCTTCAAGGTCTTCATACAGTGCTTTTGTTGCCATGTGCTATAAAAATTAAACAAAAACTATATTTAGACAGATTGTCAATTAAAATAGATATTTATTTTTAAGGAAATTTAGACAGTAAGAAATTTATTACAAAGTAAGAAACTTAGGACATCTTCAACGTCGTATCCACTTCGATGTTGGTTTTGGATCTGTTAATGGTATCCACTAAATTTGCTGACTACTTGCTTAATTAATGTGAATCGATTCGACAAACCTAACTAGTGTCGGCACTGTATGTCACCCATTTGGCGTTTGAAATCAGCATGGATACGTCTCCAATATGTGCCACTTTGTTGATCTGCACCTGTTATTGGATCTTCCCCAATATTAATCCACGCTTTGCATAACACTTCATCTTCTTGGGTGGACCAATTTTTCCTATCTTTCCTTGAATTAGACTTGGATTGAGAAGGTTCAGACTGAGATGTATATTGGGAAGGAGGTTGAAATTGGATAGGAGGTGGGTATTAGGAAGGAAGTGGGTATTGAGAAGGAGATTGGTATTGGGAATAGGGTAGGTATTGAGAATGAGATTGGTATTGGGAATGTGGTGGGTTTTGGAAATGAGAGAATTGAGATAGGTTTTCGGATTAGTAAAATCTTGAAGAGTAAAAATCATAATTGAATTGTGGTTGTAGTTCAGAGTTTTGCGATGGGGGTAATGGAAGTCATTGATTCATGGAGTGTTGAAGGATACGAAGAGTTCAATGATGAAAATTTAGTCAGAAAAAACTGAAAGGAAGATTGAGAAAGAGAAAGATAACTAATTGATGAATGATGAGAAATTTTGATAGAAGTGTGGTGGTATTTGTAGAGAATATGTGATATTACAAACGGTTAGAGCATCCCCAGCGCGCGCCTTCCTTTCCGTTATACACTTTATGTAAAGTGTACAGCTACATCAGCAATTAGTTCTACCCTTATTTTGGAGACTCCAAGTTCTTGTTGTGCACTCATTTTTTCATTCTACACTTTATTATATTATTCTTATTATTTTAAATAAAATAAAATTTTTTAATTGTTTTTTTTTTTTTTTTTCCAACTGTTTTATTCTCAACAACTATAATGCTAATGGCTATAACTGTTTGCTTCAATTATATATTTAGATACAAGATTTTTAAAAATTATTAATATTAAAAAACAATAATATTCCACACACACACATATATATATATATAAGTGCATTACATAGCTTCCTACAAATATAATAAAATAATATAACTCAGGAAAAAAAATACATTAATACTTCCACACATGAAGAAAAAAAAAAAAGTAAACATTACAATTAATTACCCCTTTTTGCATAACGTGCCATAATTTCATTTTGTCGATCGTCGATCCATGCTTTCATCATCGGTGTTGTAGCATCATTTGAATTTTTTTCCATCATTTGTCTTTCCCAAAGAACTTGCTCCCACTCAATCTCCATCTTCTTAATTTCTTTTTGCGCCTCAAACTCCTTTAATTTCATTTCTTTTTGCAGCTCAAGCTCCAATCACTGTGTCCATTTTTGCTCCATGCCCAAATCGAATTTCAATTTCATTTTTAAAGTACGAGATTCCAGTGCTAAGTTGTCCATCAACTTATTTTGCTCTGCAAATCCTTGAAACGATGTAAGAAATAAGTCATTTTGTACCATATCTTTACTTTTACGACCCTTCTTGGCAACTTTTCGCCCAATAGGTCATGACGTGTCACGTGAACCTTCATCAATGGCTGGTGAGTCGTCGTTGCCAAGGTTTACTGAACCTGGTGTTGATACTGCAGGAGTTGACTAAGTAGATGAATTAATTGGGATTGAACCTGGTGTTAATGGAACTGTTTCGTAATAATCTCCAGGCTCATTCATATCAATATCCATAGCTCTCTTATTTGCGTTTGATTTTTGTTTTTTCTTCATTGTATCGCAATTTTGGAGCCATTTTGAAGATTTCCGAAGAAGATTCCAACAGTGCTCCCACTTAAATGGCTCCCCTTCAAGGTCTTCATACAGTGCTTTTGTTGCCATGTGCTATAAAAATTAAACAAAAACTATATTTAGACAGATTGTCAATTAAAATAAATATGTATTTTTAAAGAAATTTAGACAGTAAGAAATTTATTGCAAAGTAAGAAACTTACGACATCTTCAACGTTGTATCCACTTTGACGTTAGTTATGGATTTGTTGGTGGTATCCACTAAATTTGTTGACTACTCGCTTAATTAATATGAATCGATTCGACAAAACTGATTGGTGTCGGTACTGCATGTCGCCCATTTGGCGTTTGAAATCAGCATAGATACATCCCTAATATGTGCCACTTTGTTGATCTGCATCTGTTATTGGATATTCTCCAATATAAATCCACCTTTTGCATAACGTTTCATCTTCTTGGGTGGACCAATTTTTCCTATGTTTCCTTGAATTAGACTTGGATTAAGAAGGTTCAGACTGAGATGTATATTAGGAAGGAGGTTGAAATTGGATATGAGGTGGGTATTGGGAAGGAAGTGGGTATTGAGAAGGAGATTGGTATTGGGAAGATGGTAGGTATTGAGAAGGAGATTGGTATTAGGAAGAAGATAGGTATTGGGAATGAGATTGGTATTGAGAATGTGGTGGGTTTTGGAAAGGAGATAATTGAGATTGAGTTAGGTTTTCGGATTGGTAAAATCTTGAAAAGTAAAAATCATAATTGAATTGTGGTTGTAGTTCAGAGTTTTGCGATGGGGATAATGGAGGTCGTTGATCCATGGAGTGTTAAAGGATACGGAGAGTTCAAGGATGAAAATTGAGTCGGAAAAAACTGAAAGGAAGATTGAGAAAGATAACTAACTGATGAATGATAAGAAATTTTGATAGAAGTGTAGTGGTATTTATAGAGAATATGTGATATTACAAACGGAAATATTCACTTTGTTTTTTTCTCAACGGCTATATTTTATTTATTTTTTCTCAACACCTATATTCTGTTTGTCATTTTCTCAACGGCTATATTATGTTTGTCTTATTCTAACGGCTATATTATGTTTGTCTTTTTCCTAACGGCTATATTTCCAACGGCTATATTTTATTTGTTTTGTCTTCAACAACTATATTCTCAGTGCTTTATAAACCACTCATTCTCTCATTTTTTCAATTATTAAGTCCACTTTTTTACATCTTCGAATTCATTCTCTCTTCTTTGAGTCTTTATCTTTATTATAGAAAAAAAATGGCTTCATCATCACAATCTATTCCAGTGTCCAGGTCAATTTCTCCATTGAGTTCCTTTTCATTTTCTGATAGGGAAGATTTTTTTGAAGAACGTTGAAAAAGGATGAATGCGGTGATGCAACTATTATCACCTGATAAGGTAAAGGCATTCTTTCGACGTCGTAATAGAAAATATATTAAACGTGATCGAGATGAGGCAGCCCAGCGGCTATTCCAAGATTTTTTTGCTGAAAATCCCACTTTCCACTCGAGATGTTTCGTAGACAATTTCGGATGCGGCGAGAGTTGTTTGTTCGCATTTTAAACGATGTTACAGCATATAACGAATGGTTCATCCAGAAGCCTGATGCCCTCGGTCATATGGGTTTCACTCCTATACAGAAGATGACAGCTGCAATACGTATACTCGCATATGAAATTTTAGCGGATCTTTGTGATGAGTACATAAAGATTTCTGAAACCACTACAGTTGAAAGCTTGAAGCGCTTTTATGATGCTGTAATTGCGGTGTATACAGGGTAGTACCAACGCACACCGAATGAATAGGACATTACACGTATGCTTCAAGAAGGGGAGGAAAGAGACTTCCCAGGTATGCTTGGCTCTATAGATTGTATGCATTGGGAATTGAAGAACTGCCCTACAAGGTGGCATGGCACACACAGGGGAAGAAATCAGAAGCCTATCCTCATATTGGAGACGGTTGCATCGAAAGATCTGTGGATCTGGCATGCTTTCTTTGGTATGGCTGGTTCAAACAAAGGTGTGAATTTCTTGGATCATTCCCCAGTATTCAATAACCTGATCAATGGCACAATGCCTCCGATTAATCACGAGGTAAACGGGCATCGACGTACAATGGGGTATTACCTATCTGATGGTATTTATCTCAAGTGGGCAACTTTGATTCAGACCATCCCACACCCAACAATTGGCAAAGAGAAATTGTTTGCTAAAAAACAAGAAGCCGTTAGGAAAGATGTTGAACGAGCGTTTGGTGTGTTGTAAATAAAGCCGTTAGCTAAAAAACAAGGACCTGTGCATTATTGGGATAAAGAAGACCTAAACAAGATAATGAAAATGTGCATCATATTGCATAATATGATCGTTAAAGATGAGCGCGGACGCATTTTGTGATGGACACCTTCGCCGGATGAGCCAATATCCCTCCCACAATATATTCGAAACCCAACAATGTTGGCGGACACATTTCCGGTTGCTTTAGAAGAATTCGTAATAGAGCGGATAATGCTAATCTTAGAAGATATCTGATGGAATAGTTGTGGAATTAATTTGGTGATGAAGATGTTTAAATTTGGTATAATCGAATAAAATGTAATTTTCGTATTATTATGCAAATTAATTAAATCATTATGTGATTAAGATGTTTAAATTTATTAATCGAATAAAATGTTACTTTTTATATTATTATGCAAATTAATTAAATTAATGTGTAATAAATAAATAAATTAAATTGATAAGTCAAAAGTACAATTTTTTTAAACAAATAAATAATTAAATTCTTATGCAAATTAAATGACTCTTTATATTTATTTAGAAAAAAAGACTCTTTTTTAATTAATTAAATTATGACTCTTTTACATTAATTATTTAATACAATACACATAGAAAAACATACACAATAAACTTTAAATAAATGACATACAATAATTATTCTACACACCATCGCACAATATCATTTTTATATGTTATATTATTATTATGCACGCACAAAAATTTCTCCAGAAGTGTAGTGTCAAGTGTACAATATGTAATAGGCCCCGCGAGTGTGTAATCCGCACACCAAGCACTTTGCTTCTCTACAGTTATAGATATTATACAAAGTTAGCTTGCAATGGGGTTGCTATAAAGGCAATAAAAAAATTGCCTTCATCAGTGTGCAATCATTGTGACTAGTGTGTAAAACCTTAAGCCCATATGGGTGTATGCTCTATATGTCCAGCGACTGCCTGTGTGCTTTCGCTTTGTACAAAAAAAAAAAAAAAAAAATATATATATATATATATATATATATATATATATATATATATATTATTACCAGAATCTTGTCTAAAGAGAAATTATATCAAACAAATATCAAAGCACATTCATGAAACAAATAAATATAGTTCATTAATATAACATCTATAAATTTTTGAATCATCACTATGATTTAATGAAGGGCACATGAGTGGCTTTGATACCAATTGAAGGAAAAATAGAAGCATTTAAAAAAAATTTAGGATCTTATTCACGTGATTTTTCATCAAATCAAGAAGTACGGAAAAGAGATCTCATACCTTTTTGACGATTGACTAACCATTAACACTTCGAGAATAACATTGAATTGGATTGCTCCTCCTTTGGCCTTGAACACCAATAAGTCTTCACCTCTATGACCCCGATGATAAGTTTGTGGAACCCTAACCTTCTCTCTCACTTTCTGTATTCTGGATTGTGTACAAAGTATATTTTGTATCGTTGTGTTCCTGAATATATGACCTGAGAGACAGTTAAAAATATTTGGGGCTAGAGATGAGGATCTAAGAGGGCTTCCTTATCTAGCTCTAATTAATTACAATAAGCACCACAATAGTATTGTAATTGCACTCTAGGATTTAAAAATTACAACAAGGCCATGTCTACTAAATAATTACATATAAGCCCCTCCACTACCGAATATCCATAAGTAGCCCGTGAAAATATATACCGTCCCACCTTAGGCTTACTTATATTTTATATTCCTTGAGTAACCAACTTAATCCTTATGATCACTGAAATAAATTCTTTTATAAAAGAATTTTACAAAATAAATATTAGTCTAAATAAGTAGTAGAAAAATAATTTAGTAAACATTACTAATATGCCCTGCCCAGGTTCCAGTATCAAACTTATTAAACTGCATCAAGGGGATATTTTAACTCTTATAAAGAGTGTGGATTCCATGTTGGGCATTTGTATTCCCAGAGCTCCAACATTAGCCACCCAAGATACCATAGTATTGACCTTAAAAGATCTCACACATTGGTAAGTCAACATGATTAGTATTGAAACTTGAGTTCGCTAAATCCCTCAGGATTTAGAGCCTATGAATTTAGTAGATAAGAAATATACCAAAATAATGACAGTACATTGTATGGTGTGATCTTATGGTAATCCAGTTCAGTGTACTCTAAAGCACGCTAACACACTACCTTAGAGTCAACTACCCCAATGGCCGAGACAAACCATCCTATCTAATAGAGGTCAAGTGTGTTACACTCTTACAGATAACAGTGCCCAACTTTTATCACTGAATGAGAATAATGCCAATGTGCAAGAAACCGGTGAGCCCAAATCTCCTGCTTGTAAATCTCATTTACATACTTAAGTCACTTATAATGCAACTTAAAGACTATAATGCATCTCATGCAAATAATGTAAAGCCCAATGCATGAATATCACATTTATTAATAAAATATCGAATAAATAATAAATAATTGGCTTGTAAAGCATATGATCCCAACAGGAAGTGGTTGTTCGACGTTGAATAAAAAGTGAAACTAATAAAAGTACATGTAGCCTAAGTTTGGAATTTGGGTTTAAGCCCCGGGGCACCCAAGTTTTTAAAAGGGGGAGGACCTAGGCTAACTTGGGTCCAAACCATTTACTACATGTGCGCGCGTCTTGCCCAACTTGACCCGACCCAACACGGTTCGGGCTTGGGTTTCACAAATAGGTGCATCTGGTCCGAATCAGTGCACCATACCCATTTAAATAGGATGCATTTGGTGTGACCCAGTGCACCCCGATACAAGCAGGTGATGGTTCAGACTAAACCATTGCATCCAGTGACGGTTTGGGTCAACCGAAAACATACCTACATGCCTATAAATACCCCCATTTAGGTTCATTTAAGCACACCATTTCGTAATTTTTGTAATGACCCTCACCCTACCGAGACACAATATTGTCTGCTTTTGGCTCCCCCGGACCAGAGACTTTCCAATTACTCGCGCGGTGCGCAGTGTTGTAGCCATAGGTGCCACCTGCACATGCTCACACATACTCGCCCACAAAGTCACCACAATCACCCCCTATGGGGCCCAACGTCCTTGTTGGCCACACTTTCGGCTGGGTGAGACTCTGATACCATTTGTAACAACCCTCACCCTAACTAGATATAATATTATCTGCTTTTGACTCCCCCAGACCAGAGATTTCCTAGGGGGTCACCCATCCTGGTATTACTCCATGTTATGCATGCTTAACTTCGGAGTTCTGATGGGTTTACGGCCATCACGACTTTAAAACATGTTGTGTTATAGAAGGGTGTTGAATCTGTTCGGATTTATATGCCCTAACATAGCAAATTCTTGTTTGGATTAAAGTGACATATGTTCCTAACGTTTCTGAAATATTTATGTTTTGTACAATTGGTGAATTCAATGTATTATGTTTCGATTCATTATAGAATTGATAGTATCCTCTTGATTACAAGAAATATTTATATATGTATGTGATGACGATCAATACATGAATATAAATAGTAATCATAAATTGTTCATAGTCGGTAATTATGGATGGAATCATAATTAATTGAGACTTGAACTGGATCCACGTTAGGTTGAGATATATTGCGAGAGCCGTCGTATGCAATTGCTCCCTATCACCGTCATGGCATTTGACTCTTAAGCATGAGAAAAGTATAAACTCTTTTATTAATTAATAATTACTTTGATTTGTTCGGCGGATTCTTCGGGATCCTTAGACTGACACTTTGGGTAGTTATGTAATTAATAGTTAGAGGGTTATATTTTCAATTTTTGTATCATTACTACTTGTATTTATTTTGTATTGATTATGGTTGATCACAAAGTAAATTCGAAGACCTTCGTGTGTTTTTAGACAAAATGATTTATTATATATTTATTTATTTAAATTATTATTTTTGTCAAACAAATATTTTATTGTGATCGAGCCAGAAATAATCAATGGTACCAAAATAAATATATTAATTAAGTAGTCGGATTGATGGCTTTATTTATCCGATAACTAATTATTCATAGAGGGGTCAAAGTACAATATTGACTAAGAGGTTATTTATTATTTAATTGGAGTTCAAATAATTTCTTTTAGTGGAGTAGAAATTAATTTATGAATTAATTGAATTGAGTCCATGGACCGGGCCAATTATTAATTCATTATAGCCAAAAAAATAATAAGCCCAAATGATTCTCACTCATAGCCCAACTTGATATTGGAATCCTATTAGATTTGAGACATGTGAATTAGAGATTGAGAATGATTTATTGTTTCATTTTCTTTATCTTTATGTTACCTATAAATACACATGGTCTATGTATATTTTAGGGGTGATTTTTAGGAGAAGGAAAAATGAATATATTTTCTATCTCTAGAAAATTAGGATTTATGTTATAATCTAATGGAGGCTCCCATAAGCCTAGTTTTCCAAGATCATTCATGGAGGCATATGAGTGATTCCTAAAGGCAAAACAATTACCAAAAAGATGGAGATTCAAGGAGAAGGCATCTTGCTAAGGGATTTACAATAAGTGAGAACATTCACTTTAGAGGAAAGTTTTAAAGGTTTACTCAGACCTTTGATGTAAGCATTCAATCTGTTACTTGAATGATACATTATATTTTATTTTTGCATAAAACTTGTCTCTATGTGATGAATCAAGATATGTGAATCAAAATCCCTCAAAAAGTTTTTAAAACTTGCACGTTTCCCAACAGAATCTACATATAGTACTTGCCCCTTCACACCCAGACGATGTGGGATTGTGCACCTGTAGCTCACCCAGTGTTGTAGCCTACTGATGTCACCTGCCCATAAGGTCGCCACAATTTTCCTACCGATTTATGAAATTCTCTCTGTCTCCCTTTCTTCTCTGCATACATAGATATAGTGTGTGAGTTTGAGTCTGGTCTATAGAGAGAGTACTACATCGAGCCGGTTCGCCTATTTCTCCGATTTGAAGTGCTGTCACCAAAGAAAGAAAGGTCGTTATATCTTGGAAGACAGGCGCTCCAGAGTCTGTCAGCACCATAGCAGAGCAAATTTATCTTAAGGACATATAATTAAATTATAGCCTCGTCCTATTATCAGGTTCCTTATACATATAGTTTAATATATTATTTTATAATTTTATATAATATTTAATACTATTGTCACAGTATTATATATATATATATTAATTTATCATAATATTTAAATAATGATATTATAGTATATAATATACATAGACATTTTTAGCAACATTATTCTCATTTTAATTTACTTGAGTTTACCAAATTGTGAAAAAATTCTGAAAATGGATGTCTTTCAAGTTCAAATAACATTAAACTCTTCATTTCACATATTTCTACATGTAAAATAAAAAAATAATTTGAAAAACAATAGCCTAAAGTAATACATACACAAACACCAAGTCTAGTAATGAATAAACATTTTCCAAAGTGAAAAACTTCAAAATACTCGTAAGAATAAAAATGATTGCGTGAATTTTTTACCAAGATAGAAGAAAATAAAAAATAAAAAAAGACGAACCAAACACAGCTCATCTATATTATTTTCATTTTAAAAAAATATATATACTAATAATAAAAATGTTAAAAAAAAAAAGAAAAAGAATTTATTGCCACAATCCGAGCCGCCCATCTATATAATAAATGTGCGCGGGAAGCAACGTGCGTAAATTAAAAGGCGGGAAGCTCCACTAGAGAGAGAAGCCACTTTGATCTGCTTCAATATATCGCAGAGACACAGATAAGTCTAAACCAGAAGTATATTTCTGCTCATGGATAGGTATCTATTTCCTCTAGATCCATCTACTGAAAACCCTAAATGTATCAGAAGGTAAACAAAATTTCTTATTTCTCAGTCAATTGTCTCTCAGTTTGTTTAATTTCTTAGATTCACATTATTCAATTTTGATGTATTTTTGGTTCAAGACCTAGATGGAAGAGGGCTCTAATGGAATTGAACGGAAAATTCGAACCCAAGTATCGCCACGACATGTCTCATCTTTTGATGCAATCCTATTCCGAGGTACATTATTCCTTAATTTATTTCTTCAATTTTTATTTATTTTTCGTTATTTTTTAATTTTATTTACCTAAGACACTAATTTTTTTCTTCTTCCCTTTATTGTGGAAAGATTGGAGCGTTTGGTCATTCATATCATATTGATGGATTACCATGTCAAACCCATGTATGGAAATTCAGCACTCTGCCCTTTGCTAATTGCCTTTTAACAATTTAAATACTTTTAATCATTTCTCCTTTCAAGTTTCATTATTCATTTGTACAGTATACCTTTTGTTTGGTTTCCATGAAAATGGAGAAAAATGTAAGAAAATTACAATAGGGACTAATAATGTTTCAAAAAGAGGCTTGGACTTATAATAAACTGCATTTGGCAGCATGTAGTCCATACCTTGGTAGTGGACCTGAAAAACATCATAGCTCAATTTTTGAACTAATTATTCTAGTTCCAAGGTTCAGATTCGATGCGACCAAGTGCAGCCGTTACAATTTAATTACCATTGCTTTTTTTTTTTTGGCTCATGGAAATTATTGGAACTTTTGTACAGATGAGTTTGATTACTAATGCTGGATTCATGGACAACCCAGCACCATTGAGAAAGTTAGTGTTCTCTCAGTCTTTTATCTAATTTTGATATTTTTCTGCCTCTACTTATATTTCTATATGTATTCACTTCTTCATCTTTTATTGCTGGGATGATCTAGTGGTAATTCGGTTAAGAGTTCTGAAATTTGACTCTTGTCATAAGCAGATGTTGGCATGTGGTCCTTTTTATTTATTTATTTATTTATTATTTTGGTACATAGTATGGCATTTGGTGTAAGATTTAATTTTAGTTATTAGAGATTTAGAATATCAAACTACACATTTATAATTCTGTATGGTGACATTCATAAACAATCAACGCTTGTTACTGGTTATATCTTATGACTTATGATTTACTAATAATGATTTAACATGTAATCGACAAGATGGCCTTATGCTAAAAAAATATAATTACACATGGGATTTGTGCCTCAGGAAGTCTTTGGGAATGAATTGTGTGGTGGTGTAAACCTGGGAATTGGGTTGAACTGCCTTGCTGTTTTAATAATTTTGTGCTTACCTAATTACCAAATTGAAACTAATCCACCTAACCAATCAAGCAAACTTTCAAGCAATAAAGTAAAACAAGAGAGACAAAGAGCAACATCAGTACTTTTTCGTGGAAAATCTGAATTGGGAAAACTGTAGGAACTGATCCAGAGCTTCCCAATTCGCTATACAAAAAAAGTTTATGCATATGATGCCAGACTCAGCCTTACGCATAGCACAACTTACCAAGATCCATTTACTAAACACCTCATTATGATGCTTGGTTACCACTCGCCTCTTATGAGCCCAGTTATTGAAGACAGACTCATGTCTGAATCTCACAAAGCCAGTTACTGATCTGTCAGCGCATTTATTCCACATGATTCATCTTCTCCCATAATGATCGTAAGCCAAGCACCTTAGTTATCCGAAGGTTTGTTAATGTAGAAAGTTGGTTGATCAATGCAATAGATTGTGAAATGGCATGATGAGATGCAATGATGACGCCACTGTGATGTTGTTCTTATATTGTCAAGGCTGGGATTTATGTTGATCTTGATGGAACTACCTGTAAAGTTACACATATGATTGCCATGTGTTTCTAAATAAGAAAAGGTTGCAAACCCAGAACCCTGGATGAAAGACAACGTGTTCTCCACCCCCTCTATGTCGAAGTTGTAATGCTTTTTATATATACAACAACTTCTTTTCCTGCTGGCTCCTATACCTTCTATGTTTTATCACCATATTGCGATTTGTTTCTTTCCCTTCCTCTATTTTCTAGATTTTTTACTTAGTTTCTTAAGAACTTATAATTTATTAATTATGCTTGATTTGTCTTTTCCTTTGATTTATTTATTTTTTGAGCAAGGACATTTCTGCAATCTGTTCATTCATTTTCTTTCATTTACAAGCATTCGTCATTATGAATTTCTTTTCAGAGAGGGGGTCTCTGCACTGGAATTTGACAACAAGGTGAATGCTGAATCATTACTTGAAAAATTATGGTAGTTGAAGTTTACTCTCTGTTTTCACTAGCTTATTTCTTTTTTTTTTTTTTTTTTGGATATTAAGATTTGGATATTAATCACTGTAATTGTAGTCTTCTTCAGAACATAATAGTCACGTTATACTGATTGAACTGCTTAGGAATGTACGGAAACAAAGAAAATGCTTTTTAAGACTAGCTAGAAAGTTTTGACATTTTAATTTTGTACATAATTGATATTAAATCAAATTTTAAGGTGGAACATGATTTTATAAAGACAATTTGCTTAAGAACATGGTTGAAATTACCCCCTTGGTTCCTTTAGTGTTTTACTTTACTTACCAAAGAAAAAGAAAATAAAGTTCTCAAACATGTTAAAAACATTATCTCAATAAAAAATGTGGAGTTTATGACACTTGAAAAAAATTGCAGGAAAAATGGGAATGTTGAAAATTGAAAAACATGGATTAAGTAACAAGAATCAGAAGAGATTGGAAGTGAAGCATCGCTGCTACAAAATCACAACAAATAAGGTCTTATAGCACATGCATAACTTCATAAATTCATTTTGGGATTTGTAATTAAGTTTGACAAAATCATGTGCTTGAGCTTTAAAGTGGGAAAGTAGGAAAATAGCATAGTACGCTTGTGCCATGATGATTATTGTGTATTGATGTGATTATTGTTATGGAATGCATTCCCAACTGTGCAAAATCAAATATAAAAAACTCATTTTTGTAATGAAAATGTTAACAATCAAAATGTGTGTGCATGCGTAGTGATAAAATATTGGCCAAAAAAAGGGAAGAAATGTTTGGATTCGTGTTTGTAAACATTAAAGTGGGGTAAGACGTCTTAAAGTTTGAATAAACAAGAGGTCGGGAAGAAAACCGGTACACAAACAACATAGGAGCAAAATTTAAATTGGATAAAATTTGAAATCCTAAATAGCTTGAACCTGTGAAAATTTTCTAATAATATATAGATATAGGCTGCAAATGAGATTTACCTGCTCAAATGATGAGGCAAAACCTTAAAATATAAGTTTACTTAGTTTTGCGGATATTGATGAAAGTATTGTTCTTATTAAACGTGAACTGTGAAAACGTTGGCCAATTTTAAGTATGAAACATAATGTTTCGCTTTTTTTGTTTTTGTTTTGGTTGCAAAAAGTTATTCTTGGCAGTCCAAGTTTTACTGTTGCACCAGACAGTATTTCCTAGAACGATATACTAGGCACTTTACGTCCATGTGAATCATATTCTTGTTCATTTTCTTTTTTCTGGTTGCAATGTACTTGGAATGTTAAAACTCATGATGTTTTCAGTTGATATTTACATATAATGAAATGTGTTAAAGACAAGAAACATATAAAATAACTTATTAGAGAAAGGACAACTTCATAATTTTAGTGCTTTTAAGGGCTCCTATGTATATCAATCTTTTACAGTATGCTATCTACTTATATTGCTTGAACCAAGTTAATGTATGAGAAATTGAGTTTATCTAATTGAAACATTTACTGCTTTGATGTATCATAAATGATCTAGTCTTTTATTTACGTACACCCTTCCTGTGTTGCAGAGAAGCTCAAACATATATGTCCCTGGACCTCTTTTTATTGTCATTTCCTTGTAGTTTGAGATGGCATTTTACTTTTCTTCGTAAGATTCTTTCCTATGATAACTGGGCATCTAATTAATTTTTTTTTTGTCAGGGAATATACTTGGCATCAGTGACAAAATTAGGGTGCTTAATGGTCCATGACTTTGAAACTCTTTATTGCCATGGTACTAAATTATCGACTTGCAAGTTTCTTTGCTTAAGTTTACTTCTTTCTTTATTAATTTGTTTTAATGCATATTTTTATGACCATGTCTAGTGTAGGCTTGTTTAGGTTTTAGCCAGATTTACTGTGGAGTGATATGTGTGTATTTTTGGTTTCAAATTCTTTAATTCGAGAGAACAATGCTAATGGATTTGCAAACAAGATTATCTTGATTAGTACATGCAAATAGGCATGCTTTTTTTCACTTGGGCCACTGGGACAGTGGACCACCATTGCTCATGCATGTTTTAAATTGGCCTTCTTTGAGCTGCAAAATTGACATGCGCACACCAAAGTAATTCATTATTTCTTTAATGCAAAGAAACAAACAAAAAAAAACTTATATTGTTTCATTTTGGTACTTACTGAACAGAATCTGTAAGGGGAAGCATCAATCTGCTACTACAGCTATCATATGAGACATACGCTAGTTTGCCATGCTCTCTTGGGCTAATTACCTTTGTAGAAAACTTTTGTCCTTCTGCATCACTCATAGAATCAAAGTCAACATCCTGCATAAAACTATTTGTCCAAAAATGAAATGTGGATGTCACATTCCTTTAACTTGCATTCATAAATTAGCAGTTGTTTCCGTCATCCTTGTTGAAATTGCTTGTAGGATGACAGGTACTACTAAAAGAAGGGGTCAATCAAGTTTCTTTTCTTGATACTTCACGATATTAGCCTTATTTGCTGTCTCCAAAGAATTTTAACAACACTCTTCTTGATGTAGGTTCGAGGCTTGAGTTAACTAGACAAAAATTTATGTTTATGATGTCTTAATGGAATATGACAAGAGAATCACTTAAATTGGATTTGGGTTTCTTCTTCTTCTATCGTTGGTGTTGATGGTGCTACTCTAGTTATTCAAACATTTCTATTCTATTCAGCTAAAACCAAGCACACAATCTTTTGCTAAATATTTGACAATCATGTAGCTGACTCTAATTAAGGTTCAGGTGAATTAATTTAGAATGTAAGGATGGGACTAGTTCTCGAAACACGTCAGTTTTGTTTTTAGGAATGGAAGGCATATCTGTTTTTGGCTTGATCACCAGTGTGGTGAGGGTCATTGGAAGGTAGTTTGGCATATTAAAGTTCCCTCAAAGGTTCCTTTGTTTAATTGAACAGCTGTTTTAGGAAAGTTTCGTTCCATTAACAGTTTGATAAAATGGTGCAAAATCATTGTCAACTGAATTTTTATTTTTTTTAATCAAGTAAGTACTCACACATACATTGCCCATGCCGGGACTCGAACTCCTCCCCTCTTCTTTGAGGGTAGGGAGGTTGTACCATTGGACTAAAGGTCCATTGGTATTGTCAACTGATGTTGCATGTACAAGATGCGTTGTGAGTCGGTGAGCCACTTACTGATGTGCTATTCAGTGGCTAGAGATTTTGCACCCAATGGTACAAAAGGTCCATTGGTATGTCAACTGATGTTGCATGTACAAGATGCATCGTAAGTCGGTGAGCCACTTACTGATGTGCTATTCAGTGGCTAGAGATTTTTGGGCCCTTCTCTATTCTTTCTGTAGTGTATTGGAGTATGCGTAGCACAATGTCGTGATCTATAGTTGGGGAGGGTGGAGAATGTGTAGAAGAGTTAAGAATGTTTGGTATGCGGTTGCATTTTGTCCTTGACAGAGTATTTGATGTGAGAGGAATATGAAGCGGAAGCTTATGAGACCTGGAGGGGGTGAATATGTCTACTTATTTTAATGACCAATATAATTTTTGTGTTCTATTAAACTGTATGATGCCAATCAATCACACAACAATGCAAGAAATGCAATAAAGTAAAACAAGTGGAGAGAAAATACCAGAGTTTTTTTATGTGGAAAACCTCAACTAGGAAAAAGCACGGAGACTATGCCGTCTTAGGCGAATCAGTCGAGCAGTTTTGAGAAAGAGTATAATGATTTCCAGTGCCTTCGGAATTGCTCTCCATTAGTCACCAACCCTAGTGCCTTGGTCTCGGATCAACCCCAGTGTTCTTTGACTCCAGCCGATCCATGCCAATGCAATCACTTCATAATGACCTGCTTAACCTAGTGATCAAAAACCTTTTGTCTTCTGCAAGTGCTAGCTAAGAATTGACTGATTTTATGGTGGATGTTCTGAAATTGATGAAGTTCCATGGTCTCGGATCAATCACAAAGTTGTATGAATGGTCTCTACTAAATCCCAACTATGTGATAAAGAAAGCTTTAAACATCACTGGAGAAGCTAGAATTTTTTCAAAATCTCTCTTTCTACTCTTATGTATTGTCTATGTTCTATGTAAACCATGAACCCCATTATATAGGTTTTAGAAATCCTTATTCAAGTCCTAGAATGATTATAAATCAATTGAGCATGTGTTGGATGTGCTTTCCTTGAGTTCACATCCAAGTCGAACTTGAATCGCATAAAAACACATTAAAACTGACTCTGGGCAAGTCAGACTAGTGCAGGATGAGTTCTCAACCAGTGCATGTTCTATCTGGACTAAGTTGGACCAATGCATGTCAAAAGTTAGACCAGTGCAACTGCTCTTTGAATTTTTTGTGTGGAGAATTTGCTGAAGACTTGATTTCAGTGCTCAGGAGAGTGGTCAAACAAACTTGAAATTGAGTGTATAAATATATCATTGGAAATCTTATGGGGTCTAATTTTCGACCATATAAAGAGCACAACAAAATTTGAATAAGTTATGACTCAATAAGACAGAGGTTAGATTTAGCTGAATTCAACACCTATTTGGGTCAAGGTCCACCCGAATCATGTTCCTAGGTTTTCTAAACAAATTTTCACTCGTAAAACCATTTTAATACCTTTATAAAAATGTCCATGTGCATGAAAGTCACTTATGAATTTTAGCCATGTTAAGCCAAATCCAAAACCTAGGTCAAAGCTGGCCCAATCTGTCTAGCCTTTACTAACCTATTTTCTAAAGTGATATTGAACCTCATAGAGCACATTGTTGAGATCTCTTGATGTAGTTTTCATCTCAGTACTTCAATTAACTTTGGAATGGAATTTGCCAACATAAAAGTAATATCCTAACAGAATATGTGTTCCTTTGAAGGGGTGGAGATACTTATTTAAAGAGTGAAGCATTAGATATTGAGCCACTTGTATTTTAGGATCACAGGGTAATCTTCAGTTATGACGGAATTTTTGTAAAGTACTTGGATAATATGATAATAAAGCTTTACTTACCAATGTGCATTAGTCCAGATGATATGATTTCTCCTCTCCAAAAGGGAAATTGAGAGTTCGAGACCTGCTAGTGGCAGTATTGTGGGTGCATGCACATTTTCTTGAACTCTCGGAAAAAAAATGAAATAAAAAATAAAAATAAAGCTTTAGTTCGTTGAAGCTTTACATCTTGTTTCCATGGGTTGGACCCTTCTGGCACTTATCAAAGTATGAGAATTAGTAAAATAAAATTAGGGCTTAATTAAGTTGAGTATCAGTACAATTTGATTGTTGTTGACTCCGTGACTCGTATATCTGTGTCTCATGAGAATGAACTTTGGATGGATTCTTCATTTACTTGGGTTTATACAACTTTTTTCACAGCATCTTTATAACCTATTGAAACAATAGGGCTGTATATAACTTTCATCCACACCAAAAGCAAGAAATTAGTGTTAGTAGGTCAATGGTTTCTACATATTAGGATGGGTAGGGGCAATACGTTTTAGGTTCAGTAGTTGTCTAGCAAAAGTAGAAAAAAGGTACGTTTGTGCATTCTACTTAAATGAATGCAAAACTGAGACTCAAATGAAACTTTTGGATGTAGGCCAGCAGAATACTGAAGGGTGGTGCTCCTTGCTGTTCCTGCATTGCTGGTGCTTGAAAGTGTGTAGTTTGTTAACTTAGCTGTTAGCTTACTGAACATTGTAAGATATTCATTGCGGCTTTAGCTAATCCTCACACCCTGACAACCTAATTCTTCCAAGTCTTTTTACCATATTGACATGACACTACTACATTCTATGGTTGTTTGCAGCTGTGAAATTTTTTTATGGAAAATTCTTTATGGTTCTGCTATCTCCTTTTGAGTTCCTTGAAGAAACGGTGATGGAAGATACCAATTTGAAGGAACATCAACTTGTAGATATCCTGGTTTTCTGTAATTCATTTTTCTCACTACATAAAATCTAAAATTTACATTAAACTCTAAGGCTATAATCAAAAGCATCATATTGATCTGTTAAGCTCTCGATTACAAACTTGTGTATGTTTATGTATTTCTTTTCAGATGAAATGAATTAATATTCTATTGTGTGATAATTTGTACATAAAATATCACACATGTGCATGGACTGGAACTTTCCAACCGTGCAGGATGCAAATGAGAAAACTATGTACAACTAGAACTTAATCTATGAAGAGGAACAACCTAATCTCATCTATCACCAAATCGAAAAACACTTGCCATTTTGAACTTTAGAATGATGCTTAAGTATTAAAATTGACTTTGCCTATGGACACACGTTCTTGGAAGATCTTATGTAAATATTTTGAACCTTAGTGAAGATAGGTTGCTCTTTTTAGTCTTTCTATATGTGTTGCATTGATAAACATGTCCAGTTAGTAGGTTTTCTCATCTTTTTATTTATTTATTTATTTTTTTACATGCTTGTTGTAAAATCCAAAATTTAGATTAAACTCTTAAGGCTATAATCAAAAGCATCATATTGATTCTGTTAAGCTCTCAATTACAAACTTGTGCATGTATATGTATTTCTTTTCAGATGAAATGAATTAATATTCTATTGTGTGATAATTTGTACATAAAATAATTAAGATGTGCATTGACTGGAACTTTCCAACTGTGCAGGATGCAAATGAGAAAACTATGTACAACTAGAACTTAATCTATGAAGAGGAACAACCTAATCTCATCTATCACCAAATCCAAAAACACTTGCCATTTTGAACTTTAGAATGATGCTCAGTATTAAAATTAACTTTACCCATGGACACACGTTCTTGGAAGATCTTATTTAAATATTTTGAACCTTAGTGAAGATAGGTTGTTCTTTTAGTCTTTCTGTATGTGTTGCATTGATAAACATGTCCAGTTAGTAGGTTTTCTCATCTTTTTATTTATTTATTTATTTTTTTACATGCTTTTTGCTTCAACTTCTATGTTGTTATTCTGAAGCAAAGTTTTGACCTTTTCTTATGTTTTATTGAAGTTTAAATTGCTTTCTTTCTTCTTTGCCCATCCAGTAAACTCAAAATATCCTGTAGGTTTGAAGGAAGATGAAACAAAACATTTGCTGCACATTTCTACACATCAACAACTCGATGTTGTCCGATGGAATAGTGCTAACCAAGATGAGGTTTGATATTGTTTTGATTCCCTTGTTCTGCATGGTAAACCATATAGATATCTAAATTTACCAGACATGTCTCTCTAGATTGTTATTTGTACTTGTCGAACTTGTTGAAGGTTTTGGGCTTAAGTTATCATTTTTTAGAGGTTATAACTTTAATGTTTGAATTCTTCAACATTATTTTCTCAAGCTATACTGTGGCAAAGATAGGAAATATAAAATAGTGATGTTTTTGACGATGATTTTTTTATCTACAGGGCTTCTGCCATGTTTGTTGGTGTTTATGAGCCTACAAAGCAGAAATTGTTAAGGAGAAATTGGTGTTTCTCTCTTCTGCCTCTTCTCTTTTTGACGTCGGAGTCTTCCACTCCGGCGTCCACCGTTTTTGCCTGTCACTGGTTCTTCGTTCTTTGGCAAGGAATCGTGATATGCATCGTACCTATCTTAGCGTTGCGACCCTACCCTGTCTTAATCTTCACGGGGAAATCAAAAGCTGCTCTATAGGCAATGATCTGGTTTATAGGGTTGATCATCAAAGCATCCAGGAGCGCGAATCTGTACTGCGATCATGCCTTGTAGGTCGTTTTGACAGAGACGTGGGGTGTCTTGAAGGGATTGAGGCATGGGCGTCGAAAACTTGGAAGGTTTCATGTGGGGTGAAAGTATCTCCTTTACCTGATGATCTACTTTTGTTCAGGTTTCCTTCGGAGGTTGAGGCCTTAAGGGTGTTGGACGAAGGGAGGAAAAGATGGGGTGACGCTTTATTATCCATCGATATTTGGTATTTCGCTGCCGGCTGTTCTGCTGTTAAAGGACGAGTTATATGTCGGGTGATCCTGTTTGGTTTACCCCTCCATCTATGGTGCAACAAGCTTTTTGAAGCAATTGGGAATTTATGTGGTGGATTTCGAGGAGTTGAGGCGGATGTTTCGACGTGTGGATAGCGAATTCTCCTCTATGTCTCTGTCGGGAAAATGTTGCCGGAGTACGTTTTTGTTGAGGACCAACGAGTGGCTTACAGGGTCAACTTAATAGAGGAAATAACACCTCGTATCCTTCCGAAATCTTACTATGGTGTTGAGGAGTCACATATCCCGGCTGTTGCAAATGGAGGAAATCGCCGGAAAGCACAGATCTACCATGGCGTCGAAGGAAAGAGATGTCTGCCTATGCACGCGCTTGAAGCGCGTCGAGGGGCCAATCAAGTCCTTAGTCATCGCCATATGTTCCCTCGTAATATTCGCGCTAACGGATACCAACCACGTGGCAAAGACCGTGTTCTTAATGGAGTCTTTAATGCTGTGAACTCTAATGGGCTTAGGTGTGGAACTGAATTGGGCTACGGGCCTATATCGTCATATGGGTCACTTGTTCAACCCGGCCCACAGGAGCTGTAGAAGGCTGTTAATCGAGGGCCTCTTTATTTTAAGAACAAGCCCAGCCCAAAGTCCACTTTAAGTTATGGACCAAATGGGAGTAATATGGAGAGAAAGGTCTTGAGGGGGCCAGAAATAAAGTACTAGTTTCTTTTATCAACCCCAAGCCCAGCTCACTTTCCTTTAAAGGAGTTGGTCACTTTCAGAGGCCTGAAGATAATTCTGTAATTTTCTGGAACTCTCCAGAAAAGAGAAAATGGTTGAAATTATCAGGTGTAGCGATTGGTGGTGGTCCTGTCGAATTGTGTTCTCGCCATTCTCAATGTTGTGCAGACTTCTCATCGTCATCTCTCTCTGAAACTTTTCAGCCGAAAGGAAGTACTGTTAGGTCTTCGTCTCGGGACCTCTACAGAAAACGTCAAAGAGTTAGATGGTCTCGAAAAGAGAAGCAGAAGTGGACCTCTACTAGTGATCCAGGTACGTCATCAGTTTCACATCCTCAGAATTTTAATGTTCCATCCTTTTCTTCTATCCCTTCTTGTGTGCTGAGGAGTGCCGGTATTGGGCCGGAATTGGAGAAGAGTAGCGAGTTGACTGTCACGAATGATGGAACTGATTCTGGGTTGAATACAGAAGGTATGAAGGAGAGTGAGACTGTCGTTTCTAAGCAGATGAAAATTGCAGATTGTGCTATTAAGAAATTATCTGAAGGGATTACAGTATGCGTGGGCAGAGACTTGCACTTCCAGTTGTCCAACGAAGAGGTTGTAGCTTTATTCAAAGAGCTTCGACTAAGTGTTGCTCTGAAAGGTCTTAATTGCTTGCCTCATACAGAGACTGATAGGACTGACTTTGTTTCAGAACCTGATTCTTTTTACGAAAATGATAAGGAGATGGAAGAGGAAGTGCTTGATGACCTGGGTTCTATCCAACAGGTATGCTCCAATGAGCTTACACCTTGGGTGGAGAAGAGTTCTGAAATCCTACAGGAGACACCACTGGCTATGGTGCGACCCGACGAACAGAGTGTTGATATGGGGAAAGATTGGGTAGTTGACAATATTGGAGTCACTAGTAAGCTTCTGGGAGTCTCTTCATAGGGTAATGATGACCAGACATTATCTATCCTTCAAACAATTGTGGAAGGGAGAGAAGTTGCAGTAACCAATGAAGTTATTAACACGAAGCCTTTATCATCTTGGAAAGGAGTACAGGAGATAAAGAATCTCATTTCTGAAGTCAACTACGAAGGCAAAGGAGGAGTGGTGAAGGAAGGGGGAAGAACTAGGAGTAGGAGTCTCAAGAAGGGTGGAGGGGAGATTATTTTATCTGGTTTACAATGAAGCTACGAATTATTTCATGGAATGTTCGTGGTCTTAATGATCCGAACAAGGGAAGGGTGGTGAAGGTAGCTTTAAGGAAGTGGGGTGCCCAGCTTGTTTGCTTGCAAGAAACCAAGTTAGCATCCATTACCGACAGGGAGGTTAAGAGATTGTGGGGAGGAAGGTTTGTGGAATGGGAGGCTTTGATTGCTATAGGATCTTCGGGTGGGATATTAGTTATGTGGGATAGTAGATGGTTAACTCGAACGGATGTATGGATGGGAAGATTCTCTTTATCTTGCATGTTTAAGATGGAAGAGGACAACTACAAGTGGGTTTTCACCGGAGTCTATGGACCGGTTGTTGATGATGTTCGACCTATCTTTTGGGAGGAGCTTTGCCATGTCGAAGGACAGTGGTCTTTCCCTTGGTGCTTGGGAGGGGATTTTAATGCTGTTAGGTCCCCGTCAGAGAGGTCTACAGGGGGAAGAAGATCTCTGGAAATGGATCAATTTTATGATTTTATTAATGAGCATCTTCTTGTTGATTTACCAATGGAAGGAGCAGCTTATACTTGGTCCAATGGTAGGGATCCAATCACTCTATCAAGGCTGGACAGATTTTTAATTTCTGGGGATTGGGAAGAGAAATTCCCAGATGTTGTTCAAGCGGTGTGAGAAAGGGTCACTTCTGACCATGTGCCTTTGGTTTTGGATTGCGGGGGTTTATGTTCTCAAAGATCCCCATTTAGATTCGAGAATATGTGGTTGCGTGCGGATGATTTCCAAGGAAAAGTCAGTTCTTGGTGGGAAGGAGTCACTTCTTCAGGTTCGCCCAGTTTCACAATTACAAAGAAGTTAAGGGCTCTCAAATTAGCTCTTAAGTAGTGGAACAAGGATGTCTTCGGGAACTTGGAATGGAGGAAGAATAGAGTACTTGCTGAATTTTCAGAGATTGGTCGTCTTGAGGAGGCCGGAAGGGATATGGAATCTCTTCACTCCAGGAGAGCCTCTTGCCAGGCGGTATTTGCTGAGATCGCTAGTATGGAGGAGATCTCGTGGTGACAAAAATCCCGGGCTCTTTGGCTAAAGGAAGGTGATCGGAACACAAAATTCTTCCACAGGTTAGCTAACGCTCATAGGAGGAGTAATCATATAGGAAGAATCTGGGTGGATGGTGAGGAGTTGTGGAGAGAGGAAGAGGTGCGTAACGGTATTGCTTCCTTTTATCAGAAGCTTTACACAGAGCCTTTAGTTTGGAGGCCCAAACTTGATGGTCTCCATTTTGAGGCTATTTCTGAGATTGATAGAGATAGGATTGAGAATCCTTTCACTGAAGAAGAAGTTCTTAACGCTCTCTCAAGCTGTAATGGGGACAAAGCTCCGGGACCTGATGGCTTCACTATGCGATTTTTGATGGAAAGTTGGGCGGTTGTAAGAAATGAGGTAATGGGTACTTTTCAGGAGTTTCATTCTTTTGGCGTCTTTGAGAAATCGCTTAATGCTTCATTCATTGCCTTTATTCCAAAAAAGGGAGGTGCTTCAGATATAAAGGATTTTCGTCCTATTAGTTTGGTGGGACGATGAAGGAAGTTATGGATGGAATTATTTCGGATTCCCAGAATGCTTTCGTTGGCGGACGACAAATTCTTGATTCAGTTCTTATTGCTGGCGAATGTGTGGATTCCAGATTGCGGAGTGGTATTCCTGGAGTTCTATGCAAACTTGACATTGAGAAAGCATATGATCATGTGAATTGGAATTTCCTACCCTATTTGTTACAAAGAATGGGGTTTGGAAGTAAATGGAGGAAATGGATTGAGACCTGTCTTTCGTCTGTCAAGTTTTCAGTTCTTGTGAATGGCTCTCCCGCCGGTTTCTTTGGTTGCTCTAGAGGTATAAGACAAGGTGATCCTTTGTCATCTTTCCTTTTTCTTGTTGTTATGGAGGGGTTAAGTAGACTGATGCGTAGGGCAGAGGACCTTGGTTTTTTTAAAGGCTTCAGAGTGGGTAGAGATTTAGACCATCGGATGGAGATTTCCCATTTACTCTTTGCAGATGACCCCCTGGTTTTCTGTGATGCTGATGTGTCTCAACTTCGATACTTGAGGTGTGTTCTGACTTGTTTTCAGGCAGTTTCCGGGCTAAAGGTCAATGTGGCAAAGAGTGTGCTTGTCCCGGTAGGGAATGTTCCAGATATTTCCTCTTTAGCTGCAGTTCTTGGATGCAGGGTGAGCTCATTCCCTATTCCTTATTTGGGTTTGCCCCTAGGGGTCTCTTCAAGTTTAGTGGGGAGTTGGGATTCTGTG